TTCAGTCAACCGTATTGGTGACTTACAAACGTTTCTCTAATGCTCAAAGTGCAGATAATTCCGTATTTTTACTCTTTTTGAGGATTTTTTAGAAAATTGTCAAGCTCATTTTGAGAGTTTTCGTATCACACATAAAAGAGAAATGAATATGTAGGAATTTTGTATAAATCAGTGACAACGAATATGTTGTCATCAAGAACATCATAAGAAAACTGGAAAAAAAGTTGGAGCATCAAAGGAAAAGCGTTTTTATTCTTACAAATCCTCCGACTTTGCTCAACAAATACCGTGTGAACAATAGTGTTTATGTTAAGAAAAAGTAGGAAATCCAGGAATCTGTGTGGAATAAAATTAAGAGGAGAACACGTAAAGAAACAAAAGACTTGACAGACTTTGACAGCACAATTAATCAAGGCTGGCATGAATCATATTGAAATGCCGACCATACAAAAGAAAGATATTAGGAAAAACCGCTCTTTGTATGACCACGGTCGTATATTAAGTTCCAATTTCAATTCCTTTTTCCTCGAAAGGGTGGCTAATAGGCGAACGCCGTTACTCTCTATCATTTTATGAAATGTAACACTGAATAGGCTGATCAAGAACAGAGCTAGAAATGAAGGCTGATAAGGAAACTCTTCTCAACTCATATCGGTTACGTAGTCCAGAACTTCATGCCGTTCAAAGTTCCACAACTACATAGCGACTTCAAAAGCAGTTCTCAAGTGTTAGTGAGATTTGGAAGAGATGAGAAAGCGAGAACGAAATTGAACTCGCATTTGAAACATATGACTTCCATTGATTGATCAATGTTTTCATTGACAAGACAACGAAGCTAACTCTAAATGACGAAAGAAACCTTATGGAAATAACTACTACATAATGGTTCTATAGTGTACCTGAAGTGAGTGACCATCCAAATTATAAGCCTGAAGTCTCTTTGAAAAATGCCACTTGTGCCACTTTTGATTGCGTTAATCGAAAAGAAATTTGAACGGACACTTGTGAATTATTCATTACATACTTTTCCTGAGTTTAAACAGTCTCCCACATATAATCTACTCTTCCGCGTAAGAATTCACACTTTTGATGATCTGTAATTTCCGATGAAAGGCTCTGGTTGTAGCCTGAGTGGTCCATACATTTCGCATAAGGATCTCTATAGATGTCTACTTATAGTTTGTCAAATTCCTAAAGTTTACAGGTTTTCATGAAAATGATTTCGACATTTTTTTACACAAACCTCTCACTTACATTAACTTGATCTAAGGCCTTCAACCTAACTATCTTGTAAAACAGAATCCTTAGATCTAGATGGGATGGTTAGAATTATATGTGCGCGTGTCTGCGTACTATGTAAGAAGACGCAAGTTAAGCAATGGATAGGTGGTGCAGAAAAAAAGCAATGGAGAGGTGCAAATTAATTTTTGGAGCCAACTGCGTCTCATCACAGCAGGAAGGGTTTGCTTAATGCTCTACCTCCATCATACAAAAATAAAACCTCATTGGCTTCAATTTCGATTGTTTATATAGACAATGTTCAAAAATAATGATAACATAGTAATCTGACAACATATTTTGAGCCTCTAATGAGGCCTGTAAAGAGCGCGTGTGGCGCAATGATTGGAGGCGTTCTGCGCCGCACACATGGTAGAAAGTTAAATCCTGCGCTCATTGCTCACCATACCACCCGCTCCTTCGGGGTCAGTAAATTGGTACCAGACTGTTCTCAGATCTCTCTGGGAAGATAGGCAACACCGTCTTTCTATGAGGTCTGGTATGGAACCAAAACACCGCATGTCGGGTGATAACATCGCCTGACATTGTGGTGTATAGGTAGGTAGGGGTATATACTCTGCAAGGAATCGACTGAAGCGAAAGACACCTTGCTTCTCAAGGGCACAGAAAGGCGAAACACGTGTTTAGTGGTGTATGAGTTCCATACCAAATTCATAGAAAGCTCAGAACATGTTATCTGATTATCAAGATCTCACTGATTTCATATAACCGGTGTCAATCATCTTTCGTCAGTGGAAGGTTAGTGAAACAATAATTTAAGTTTCTAGCAGATTTTGTTTTGCGCTCGTGTAGTGTTTCTAACTTATTAAATATCTTTATAATAACGCTCTACATGGAAAGTAATTAATGTTTATTTTTCGCTCATTGTCGATTGTCATGTTTCGAAATACGCGAATAGTAAACAGAAACGCACATTTTTTGCAGACTTTGGAGAAGAATATCTGTTCATTTACTGCATCACTTTGAATCTACATATTTCGTCTCCAAACATTCAGCTACGAGTAATTACCGTGCAGTTGCATAAGTAGTATTTGTACGATTTTATGAGGGAGAGCGAGTGAGCACTGGTTCGTGGTGTGGTGTATCAGAAGAAAATGTTTGTAGGCAGGACGCTGGCTGGATCTCCACCTCCAACATTGCGCTGCAATCATTCAAATGAAAACATTTTATTTCGGCTGCCTTCAAAATTGCAAACAGATTCTGTCGACAAACAGCAGGCGAAGGAACGCGTGAAATATTCAAAGAATTATGTAGAGAATAAATGCAAAGAAACGAAGCTGATGCAAGAAGTACTGTAATGGTCAAGATAATTTGTGATAACGAGTTGCATTGAATTACAAGAAATCTGCTTGAATATGAAACCTCTCAAGTTTGTAAAACAATTTTACAGGTTTCATTCCAAAAAACGGCACAATTTTTTCGGAGTAGAGATCTGAAAATACTAACAATTTCTGCACATAAACAATTCTAGATCATAGCCTTAACCGAAAACCGCAGTACATTCTGTATACATATATTTTTCGTAAGAGAGTTCTTGCAGCGTTAGTAGAAATAGGGATAAGAGATCAAGATCAAGCGAGACAATTTGAAATGGAAAAATGGACAGTATGAAGAACGATCTGCACAAATATAAAAGTCAAATTGGATCGTAAGCTCTTATGAGAAGATTTGCGACGTCATTCCGGACCGTTGATTGTTAAGGAATCTCAGACCTAGTGTTAGGATATCCCACAATCTTTTTCTTGCATTTTGAAACTTCTAATCCAACTTCTATCTATATAAAGCAATGAAATAATCTTCCTTGTAATCACCATTATGATCATTGATATGTAAAAATTTGCCAGGCAAAGATTGGATGCCTTCCTTTTGGAGAGATTGAGATTTGCGAGCAGAGAAGGCGGAGCGATGATATTTGTAACCGATGTAGCCTTTGAACTTTGCTCTTGCAGATGTTGTGGATATGACGGAGCATCAGGGCCATGCGGTGAATGTGGTACCAAGGCCCACCTCACTATTTTTAAAATGTAGAGCGTCAGCTTTGCAATGTAAGGTCGAACGTTATTGTGAAACCAACGCAATTCTTCATTGTTCTAACCACCTTCTGGAGCTCCTTCCCATTGCGGAAGTCGGTACTGATTGCCTACTCGCTGCCGATTAGATAAGATAATCTTGCACATAACAACTTTCCAATCCCGGAAAATTGAGCGAATAATCCTTCCAGCATAGAACATGGACTTGATTGGGCTAACGGATCTTTGTAGCGAGGCAGCCAGTAGACATGGCTCATGTTGCTCTCGTGGTAGACTGAGGAGTTATCTCCAGTAATTATCTACTTGAGAAGGGCCTGTCTGAGCGATCGCAGCCGATAAACACGCAAGCAGCGAGATGATGTTTGTCAGTTCATCAGATGTCCACTGAGACATCATTGGTCATTGAGACCCCTTTTAACCTTTGTAGCCTATGCTTTTCTCGCTTGAAAGCCTCTTGTTAAATCCACTATTAAACATGCTGCAACACACCACAGCCTTTGCATTAAATCGGTTTAAAATAGGGAAAGAAAACGAACAAACGAACAAAAGAGTGAAGAATAAAGCTCTCGGTGCCGATCAGTCCCTGACGGATGCGCCATACATTTGTCTTAAATTTTTAGCTTCGTTTGAGGCAGCTGGATGCATATTTGGCCCTTAGAATGACCTGCCGATGCGTCAAGTCAATCAGGCAAGTTTGATGCCAGGTTACTGACTTCAGAGAGATGAAAAGCTTGATGAACGCGAGATTATGCTATTGACCTTGTACGCGACGCAGGAAACCTCCAACCACCACAGCACAAACGGTGTTATACCAACAGTGAGAAAGAATTTATCCTACGACTCAATACATATTTGCTGGCAATGTGGTAAAGCACTAAATCAAGCAGCCTAGACTCACATGCACTGTAAAATGTTCCGTATGAAGCCATGTCAACATATCAACTCAATGCAGCTCTCCACAGGGCGCGACTGAGTATACCAAACAGCGTCATATTTTTGATGTGTTCTCCTTTGAAACTGCTTCGTCGAGACCACTGCTATGCCCTTATAACCTACTCTTCGATGAGTGCTTCTAAATAATGGCGTAGTAGTTTTTTGATTCCTTCTGATTAGGAGCAGACAAAGGGAATATCGATCTCACTTGCTGGAAAAGAATTTTTCATAGGAGTGTTAATAACCTTGCGAAAGCTGAGGACTGAGACTACAAGCCCACCCGCCGATTTCTCGAAAAACTTTTTTAGCGTTCTAACATTTAAAATAAAATCATGTTTTTTAAAACTAAGTGTTTTTTTCCTCTTATCTCTCCTATATACCGCTGGACAAAACTCCTTCCTTGCAGCGCTAGTACTCAAACTATAGTACAAGCTTCAAAGATTTGAAAATATGTTTATTTTATGAAAGGCTTCCTTGATCTTTTGATCATTTCTGGTCTTTTATTTGTGCTTTGAACCTCACCATACGGAGCATTTTTAACTATCAGTAATCATCCAATAGCGTAATGTTTTCTGATATTAGCGATGTGCTTATTTTTTGGAAATACGATTAAGGAAGGAAAATAAGGTCAAGTTTTACATTTTTCGCAACGTTGTTAACAGGCCACTTGACAAGGCGAAAGCCATGGCGGGGCGGCAATGCGTGATGATCAATCTTTTGCATTCGACCACAACTGTTGTTGGTGGTGCAGCGGTTCGCATGCGCTCCTGGAAGTAGTGAGACCTGGGTTCGGATCCCGGCCGATGCAAACGCTTTTGCACAGCACTCCACATTATTTTTTTAATCATTTAGGACTTTCTCCTCTGCTTTGAAAGAAACTTCAAATAAAACGAATGTCTAAGATACTACGAAAGGTTCTCTACACATTGATATGCTTATCGGCTTTCAGCGAATTATATATATATTATAATATATATATATATATATATATATGATAAAAATGAGAGCGAAAAGAAACATGATTTTTGATTTGGACGCTACAACGTTTCTCAAGTCTCAGCTTTTGAATGGTCAATAACACTCTTCTGAAAAGTATCTTTCCAGCAAACTGAGTCAATTTTGCATTGGTCCCTCCAAATCACAAAGAACCATTGTATTTAATTGTTTGACGCTAAAGCGCATTTCATTCAATTCTTGAGTGAAGTCTCGAGATGACATAAATTTTTTCTTAGAAAAACAAAAGTTTGGGCCTTGAAAAGGAGCTTTGCTAGTCTTCTGAGATACCATACCAAATCTGTTGAAAATAAGAAACTCAAGTCAGAATAGTTTCTTTTTGCTAATTTATTTTATTGTAATCGCATTCACTTCCCTCATTGAAGGCGCTGCTGACATGAATTGCTCACGTTCGCACAGAAAATATTGCAAAAAATTTTCACACAATCAACAACATCACTTTAGAGAGTCAAACCGGGATCATGAAATCGCTGGTAAAATCAGTGCATGTTTTTCTAATATTTATTTACCTTCCTTCCTTCTTCAGTCATTCCTAAATACCAAGAGAAGATTTTATATTGATCTCACCCAACACCAAGAAATCAAAATGAAGGATATCAGGTGGGTCAGACTCATGGCGATCTTAAGGGCAATAACTTACGTGATTGTTGCTCTGGTCTCAGAAGGTGCTTTCACAGATGCCACATTGAATTTCATTTTGCACAAACAAGATATTTAGAACATGAAAGATAAAACTTAATGCTGTCTCCACGTAAATAAGTCTACCACCAAGCTACCGATTCTGGAGGAATCAAAGACTTAGTGATCCTGAAGTGAGCGACTGAATCAACAACTAGGCATGTATCTTAGTGCACCTCCATCCAGTGCTTAAATGGGACGTGGGAACCTATATAAGGTGTATGAATAAATGGAGAGTGAAGCTGTAGGTGGGAGACGTTATGGTGATTGCTTTGATAATGTGTTATCCCCATTTCTTTCGAGAGATGAATGCAATTTTTTAAGTGATGGAAAAAATAGTGATAACAAAAAACATGCGCTATTACCATAACGTCTCTTCATCCCTGCCATAAAATGAGGTTCAATGTGGGTTGCGTGGCTTAGATGAGTGGGGCGATACCGGCGATACTTAAGTATACCACTGACGTATTAACCTCGAAAAAGGTTTAAAACATTCTAACAGACTATTTTGAATGTTCATAACAAAGTTCAAAAAACATCCGATTAGAAGGATGTCATCAACACTGTTATAATGAGTTCAGTCTACGCAGCTGAACGGAACGTGAAGCGATTATACATGCATTGAGTTTGACATTTACCACTAGTCAATAGCTCAACCTCAACTATTAGTTCGACCCTACCCTAAGAAATTCAACTTCCTCATTCCTCATTGATGTGCGTTCTTTATTAAATTCTGTCCAAGTTTTGCACCTAGTCAATCCATTTCTAAATTTACTCAGGACCATATGCAGTCTACAAGAACTTCAAGTGCGCTACAAGGCTAGATTAGAAGAGTTAAGTAACGAAAAACAAACAGGGGCACTACCACCCCTTCCGTTCCCGCATACTTATCCAATTATAAAAAGCCAAATAACGAACTCGATCCTATTTTCTGCGTTTTTCAAACAAAGGTCTGCAAATACTCAGCCATTTTCGGCATAAAAAATTGGAGTCCATTCTGACGCACAAACAAAAACAAGGCTTGTCACAACTTAGAAAGCTCGGAGGATCAAAATCTATCCGTCCATTCATAAGTGATAAAGGTGAGAAATCAGTAGCAACCCAAATCAGGTTGATGTCAAAATAACAGGGTAACATCTTCACATCTTCAGGATGTCTCCCTCTATCGTCCATACTCTGAGAATGAATATAATCTCCAATATCAGACTTTAAACAAGGAATAGGTCAACATGGCAAAGGCAGTGCGTTTGAAAACTTCAGTTATCTCTCGGCTCAAGAACAATAATGCAATCTGTCCGGTCCTACACCTTTTCATGAAAACAAATAAATTAACATCTGCTGATGATCTGGCGTCAACCGATCCATCAATATGCAAGGTTAGACCTATCATCAGTTGTATAGGCGGACCAACGGATAGAATAACGTGGTCTGTAAACCTTATTTTTACTCAGGTGCTCGAAATCATACCAGCCCATCTACACCATACTCATATGTTCCTAGATCACCTACGCTGCGCGTTTCCAAGCAATTCGCCCGTAATGTAGTCATTTGATGTTACCTCACTCTATACAAGCGTGTCAAATGACTCTGCATTGCATGCCATTTTCGAACTTCCAACAGAAAATAAACAAACAGTAAATATGTATGGCTTCTCAATTCAACAGCTAATGACCCTCCTAACACAATAATTTAATTGTACAATCTTTCGGTGGTCGGGTAAATACTTCAAAAAACTCAGGGGTTAGCCATGGGTCAACGTTTGGCACACATAGTCTTTGCCATCGTTTTTATGTATAAGTTGGAAGCTCCAGTTCTTGCTCACCGCCAATTGCTCTAATGCCAGCATATAGACGACTGTTTCACTGCCTGTTCCACACGAAAGAAATGGACAAAGTTTTGAAGTCTTGAACGGACAATCAGAGCATATAAGATTTACGCGAGAGAAACCAAGCAGGAGCTGGCTTCCATTCTTAAACATTCGAGTAAAGCTTTTGGATAGTGGCTATAGTACATAGTGGCATCGAAAACCAAGTAAAGAAAACATTTTGGTCAATCACCTTTCCTCTCATCCTTCACACTTGACAAAATCGCCAATTGAAAACATGTGTCGAACGGCTAAAAATGTGTGCACAGGAGAGGAGGAAAGAAACGAATCATTAGACTTGGCAACGAAAATCTGCCATTTCCAACGGCTACAAAACATTTCCTGTCACCTGTCACCTGTCCCCTTGATCGCCGAGTGACTCGAGCGGGTACCAGCAACACTTCCAATTTTCCCTATGGCATGCAGGAGTAGCCCAGTGGGTCCTCCTCGCTCTATGGATTCGCTGAGCATCATATCCTTCTTCTATCGCTTTCGTGAAGAAATCGGGCCAACGGATCAGTGGTCTTTCTTTAGAGCGCTTGACGTCCCGAGGAATCCAGTCGGTAACGGCTCTCGTCCATCGGTTGTCGTTGTAGCGCATCACGTGTCCGGCCCACCTTCTTTTCAATATCCTGGCGTGTGGAACGGCGTCTCTGATTTTCCGATCGTTGACGTAGGTCGGAACTTCGGATCTTTCTTCCATTTGCGAGATACGGGATACTCCTAGCATCGACCTTTCGACTGCGCGTTCGATAACGCCAAGTGATCTTTCATCCTGCTTACGTAGCAACCAGGTTTCTGCTGCATACGTTAGGGCAGGGATAATTGTCGACTCGAAGAGGTGGGCACGGAGTCGGATATTCTTTGTCCTCTTTTCTACATCTTCATGATCTTAAACGTTCCCTAAACCGCTCGTTTCCTCCAGCTCATCTCTGAAACTAGATCGTTCATCATGTTGATTTTACGACCTAGATAGACGTATCTGTAGCATTCGAAGATTATAGTTCCGTTGAGCGTGAATGGGGCATTAGAAACCCATCCGTTCCTCATCAACATTGTTTTCGATAGATTCAGTTGAAGACCAATCTTTCGACAGGCGTTATCGAAATCGGTCAACATTCGTTCCGCTTGGCTGATGTTTGGCGTTATCAGAACGATATCGTCAGCAAAGCGAAGATGGTTTAATTGTCGACCGTCAATTTTCACTCCCATTTCGTCCCATTCTAATGTTCGCATGCCGTTTTTAGGGTGGCAGTGAAGAGTTTTGGCGAAATTTTATCGCCTTGTCGAACCCCTCTTCTTACGTTAATGGTGATATTGTTGTAGAATGGAGATATTTCGGTCATGAAATCTTTATAAAGCTCACGAAGGATCACAAAACATTCACCATTCAAGATTATTAGAAAAGTGGGATCAGTTCTCAAAAGAACAATACTCCTGCCACTTATGTCAAACGAAATCAGCAAGCGCTGCTGAAAGGTGCATAAAAAGACGCGGTTTTGAAAATTCCGTGGTAGTTATTGAAACCTCACCTCCCACCCTACGCCATTAGCTGATCTGCAATAGACTATACGATCGATTGTGCAACACCAAAAACTGTATGATCTGCCCTAACGGAGAGTAGTGTGATCGTATGAGATTGGCACTCTTTCTTCGATTGTATGTAAGGGATGCGGGGAAGAACATATAAGCGAAACGGTTATACCACTTTTCATCCGCATAAAAAGAACATTTAGATAGCAAATGTAAAATAGATAAAACCAAATCTTTAGGTTTACTTAGGGCACAGAAACACAGCAAGGAAGATTTTGAGGTGACTGTCACAATCCTAGCGCACCAATCAAAAACATCCACGTGCAAAGCTCTTCAGGCATTTCAGAGGAACGGAAAAAAGCCTCGAAATGAACCGATAGGACAAATGCGTCACTATCACACAAGAAGTTGCGTTTACTCTTCGTTTGACCTTTAGCCTGAACTAGGCAGAATATAAATAAGATCATCCGAATCATTCAAATAGACTAATACTACATACGTCCAGGCTCTGAAGAAATGCGGGTCATCGAAACTTCAGCCGAAATACTACGACTAATGTACCAACCTCGCGTCAGCTGATCAAAATAAGCTTCCTCTATTTCCTCATTCCTGTTAAATCGAGAAGTTGAGGGTTTTTTTTTCTATTTGGAAGTCGCATCCATTAGGAAGATCGCCAACATGCGAAGAAGATCTCGGATATTTTCACGGGACAATTTTAC